CTCACTTTGGTGTGCTGCCATGCTCAGGGGGATTTTCATATTCATTATAATGTAGAAATATCTACCGAAAGGCAGTATAAAGTGACAAAAAGAGAACTTGACAAGATGTTAGAACATTTGGATTCTTGTCTAAGATCTAACACACTAGCTGTGTTGTAATCTAGAGTTCATTTCCAATGTAGGACATCAACCGAAACTGTCTCAGTCCCTTTCCAGAGCACATTTCAAATTTTACCCTATGGATGTATATTTTGTTGCAAGGTTCCAAAGTCAGGCTTACCCTGTATACAGAATTTATTCTAATAGTTGGACCTCACTTTTTATTTAATGACTTCTCATTTTTGAACTAGAGAAAATACTTGGGCAAATCACAAGATGATGGCTTTCAGAAGAACATGGCAAGCAGTCTTCCTAAGGTTTTGATTTGTACTACATTCACATTCTGACCTGTCAACTCATTGGATTCTAGGGTCTATGACTGTACTTCCACCTGGAGTTTTGCTTCTCCAGGTCATGATGTCAGTCTCCAACAATAATGACACATTCTTTCTAAAAGGCCTCACAGGCCTTGAGGCCATGTACACCTGGATTTCCATTCCCCTGTGTGCCATGTATATGGCGTCCCTAGCAGGAAACAGCCTGATTTTGTGGGTGGTGAGGTCAGAGCCCTCCCTGCACCAGCCCATGTACTATTTTCTGTCTATGTTGGCCGTGACTGACCTGGGTCTGTCTGCCTCCACGCTGCCCACCACGCTCACTATCTACATGCTGGGTCTCAGGGAAGTGGCACTGGATATGTGCCTGGCACAGCTCTTCTTCATCCACACATTCTCCATCATGGAGTCCTCTGTGCTGCTAACCATGGCCTTTGACCGTTTTGTGGCCATCAGCAGCCCTCTGCATTATGGCACTATCCTCACAAACATGCGGATAGCCAGTTTGGGCCTGGGCATTGTGGTGCGCAGCATTGGTCTCCACATCCCAGCCCCCATCATGCTGAAGAAGTTGCCTTACTGCAGAAATCATCAGCTTTCCCATTCTTATTGCTTACACCCAGACGTCATGAAGTTGGCCTGTGCTGACACCCACATCAACAGTGCCTATGGTCTCTTTGTGGTGCTCTCTACGCTGGGGGTGGACTCAGTGCTCATTGTCCTTTCCTATGGGCTGATCCTCCAAACAGTGCTGTCCATCACCTCTAAGACCAAGCGTCTCAAAGCCCTCAACACATGTGTCTCCCACATCTGTTCTGTGCTGCTTTTCTACACACCTATGATTGGCCTATCCATGATCCACCGATTTGGGAAGAGGACTTCCCCATTTAGCCACGTGCTACTCTCCTATCTTCATTTTCTTTTACCTCCAGTACTCAATCCAGTTGTTTATACCATCAAGACCAAACAGATCTGAGTGAGGTTGCTACTCCTCTTCAAGTTTGGTGAGGGTGGCATCAGAGGCACCCAGGGTCATTAAATATTTGCTATAGAAAGAAAAGTAGGAAACGTTCTAGTCATAGCTGTTGTCCTGGACACGGAATGAGTCAGAGAAAGGAGAAGAAGGTAAGAAGACATCATCCTCTTACACATGAAAGAAGTAATCCACCTTCTCATTTGTGTAGTCTTTCATTTAAAAAGGAATATATATATATATATATATATAT